GCTGCCTCGTTCGGAGGGAGATGCCGCTGGAAGAGTTGGGTTTCAGGCCATGGCTCTTGCTGCCAAAACATCGAGACCGCCCCTACATGACCTCTCAGCCTATAGATTTGGCAGGCTCGCCCGGGCCTGCGGCATCATCCTGGCGAAAACAAAACAAAAGGTGCCCTCGTCACGCTGCGTAAAGTACTTCAAGTTCGAAGACCGGTCAAACGATTGGTCCTCGTCGCCTTCCGAAGAATCGCTACGCAGGGCTTCGAAACCGGAGAGCAGTCGGGAGTTGCCTCGGATGAGTTCCCTGATTCCCAAGCCTCTCACGTGCACTACGATCATGCCCGCATGCCCTGACATTCCCACGGCCAAGTGACGGCAGAGCTCAGCCGCATCCGCTGCACCAAGGTTGAGCAATCGCCGGGCAAGGCCAAACTCCTCGAAAGGGCAAGCGCTCCCACGAATATGCTTCTTCGAGTCCCATGGCCCGTCCTGACCCAAAGGATCGTCGCCCTGGTGTGAGACGGTGGGATCCTGAAGAGGCACGAATGGCATGCAGAAGGACCCCGCTACTCCGACGAACAGTTTCTAGCTTGAGGGTGTCTGCTTCCACTCCGCTCTTCCAGAAGATTCGCACATGTTCGCCACATCCCGCCGCTACCGAGCACGCCGAGGCAGACAGGCATTCCCTCCTCGCTGCACAGCGCCACACGGACGCCGCTTCGAAAGAGGGCGTCCAGCGCCGCAGCCCCCGCCTGCAATGGACGCGGAACTGCGTAATGGGAAGCCGCGCTGCTGGTTCCTCATGCCACAGCAATTGTGGTGACATGCCTCGCCGGCACCACCTAAGGACCGCTGCGAGCAAAGCGACACCTAAGCTGAGATGTCGGCATCAATGGAGGAGACCCTATGGCAACCTGTTTGTCTTTGCAGCGCCGTACTTGCCGGTAGTTTTGAACGCACATCCCGGCTGCTCAGGAAGCAGTTCTACCACAGCGGGAAGACGTTGATCCGACTTGTCATGAACGGTTCTGGCCTGAGCACCAATGCGATCGAGCATGAAGAGATACCTGTGCAACCAGTCACAAAATCACAAAATACAAGAAATTGCAGCTGCACACGATGGAAGAACTTGTCGGTCATATCACATATCATTCCATTGAGTCCAAAACTTCGGCAATCTGCGACCCCAGTCATTCATCCGAGCGACTGCAGAGGTGCATGCGAGGCGAGGGATGCGCACCTGAGGCTCCATCTCCCACCGAATAACCCGATATCTGGAGACAACCGCTGCGTTCCCGACCCGGAGACGGAGTTCGCTCCAAGCATGTACGCACAGGCCTTGCAGCGGTTCCGTAAGGCTACGTAGCGACGTGGCGGGTCTAGGGTCTTCCGAGTTTCAATTGCATGATGCCCTGAGCCCACCGCGAGACCCTCAGCGCCAGAGGCCTGTGCGAGCGGGGAAGTCAGTGTCAAACGCAATGTTGTCACTGGTCAGGCCGATGTTGAAAAAACAGCGGGGACAGTGTGGCATCGTGAAGTGCACGGCATTTCCGAAGGCGTGCTTGCAGAGCATTTGCGGTGCGTTGCAATGCGTGCACAACCCCCTCTCATCCTCTCTCCCTCTTCCTCTGGCCGCAGACTCGCTTCCGCTCTCAGGCTGGAGCTGAGGCTCTCAGCTCGAACTCCTGACAATTCCGCATCAGCCCGGAGTGCTACGCAGTGCTACGCAGGAAACACCACATGCCTATCTTAATCTTTGCAGTCTCAGCATGCTTGTCTAATTTGCTTCAGGTCCGCAGGACTATCTTGCTAGCAATTGGTGAAGCTCCTTCCTCTTGGCCTGTGCGCAGGCATGGTTCAGGCCTGCAGCTACATGCCGAGTCCGGCTCAACTCTAGCCTACAACTGCTCGCACAAATTTCACGTGTTCAGGAATGCGAATGCAAACCTGCGGTGATCTACAAAATTGTCAGACGATCAAGAGAAAAGTAATCCCAAGCCTCGCAAGCGTGCCCAGACATGGTAGAGCTGATACCTGGGTCACCGTCACTTGCACCAATTTGAGGTACAAGACTTCACTGCAAGAAGCTTGAATCCACTCTCGGCGCCAAGGCCACTTGGCGCTGCTTGGTATGAAACTTGAGCGGTGGACGCGAAAGCAGGTGAGGACCCATCGCTCCAGTCGCTCGGCTCGCGCGAGACCTGATTGGCAAGTTCCCTCCTCCTACAGCGAGCAAAAATTGATTGGGCCTGGGACAACTTGCCGCATCCAACTCTCAAAGCATACCCGGCTGAAATCCCTCTGCCATGCGGGCGTGCTATCACAGGCCTCTGCCGTCAAGGGCTCGCTGCCCCCGTCCGACCTCGGACAAAACAATCCCACCCACTCTGTATTTGACGGACAGTCACGGCCGTGCGTTTCAATTAAAGGGATGGGCAAGTATGCAAGGAGGAACGAAAGCGGGCACATGCGGGCACATGCCGACATGTTTCAAACGGCTGACCTCCTCACTCCCGCCATCTCCCCTCCGGCTCTTCACTGGGCGCACGGGCGCAGAGACCTCGAAGGCCACGGTATTGCTCAGAAGATCTCCGAGTCGTTGAAAGGCCTTCGCAACACAGCTTCGCCTCCCACAACACGGGCGGTCACGTGCGCCTCCGATTGTGGCTCCTCCAAGACCTCAGGCAGAAGCCGAGCTTCGGGTTTGGCTTTGGCTTTGTGTCTGGGTCCCTGGGCCAACTTCAGCAGCGGCCCGAATGCGTTGCCCAGCAGCTCGCCGTAGTCCAGGATGGTGCGCCGCGCCTACGCTCTCGGCTGAGGTGACACTCAAGCATCGGGGTCTCGACAGTGAGACCAAAAATCCCTGGAGCCCTCGGTGAGTAGCGTGCCACGGCTCCCTTGCATCAGGATTTGCTCCGAACTCGCTGCGGAGGGTCGCTCCGGAAACCGCTGTTGGAAAGCTCTGGAAACCTCCAAAACTGAATCCGGTGGCCTTGAGGCTTGCATAGCCAGCTTGGGGGAGCTGAATAACCTCCAACCAGACTTGTTCGCGCTTCAATCTACCGATCCCTGCCGCCTGAGGAACGAAAAATAGCAGCAGCTGGTTTAGAAAAACACATCGGGTCGCGAGATAATCCCAAGATGTTCTTCTGCCGCAGCGTGCCCCTACGTTAAGGCCAGTCTGCACTACAGTAGATTATGCGATATCCTTGCAAGGAATGGCCGCGTGAGCCGGTTCATGGCGTCGCACTGAGGCCCCGGACCCAGCGCACGCGTGAGCTCAGCGGACCCAGGGACTGAGTCGCAAACAAGGCTGTTGGGCGCCAAGCTTGTACAAGTAGCACAGCTTTCTTCCTTCTAATGATACACTGCATGAGACTCCATCCCAAGTTCCAGCATCGGGCCCCCCACAGCGCTCCATTTCGCCAAGTCAAACCAGGCGCCATCCTCCGGATATAGCGGCAGCCTGGAGACAAGCAGGTCTGTGCAGGCCAGCTTCGATGGACCGGAATGTAGACCCTACTTCTCCTCGGGTGGCCTCTCAGCGAAGACCTAGGGGGCACATATACATACATACATACATAC